CAACGTAACGCATAACGCTGGCCCGATTTTGTTGCTTATTTCAGGTAAAGTAACGCGTAACGCTGGCCCTGTTGCTATGAAAATGACCAAAAAAAAGTCCATTTTTACGAAATTTTCTGTCCCTGCGGGGCTACAGATACTAAAATATAGGTAAAGTCTGGTAGAATACCCCAGCATTTTTAGCATTATTGTATGCCTAGCCGACCGTCCACTTCTGTAACATCGTCTACCAAAATTTCCGGGGAGTTGCCTATCGGACCAAAGTAACACGTAACGCCTGGGTCCGTTGCCGAAAAAAAACCTTCGGGACGCGTAACGCTCCGTCCGCTGTTGCCACCATACAGTTCGGTACAGTATGCTGTCACCAGTCGAAAGTGGGTCGGGAAACCATTCCCGCATGGCATCCGGCGTAATTGGTAGAGATTAAACAGTCTCTTCCAGCCCTCTTTTTAAGAGGCCTGATCGCGTTCTAATTTTTGGAGCTCAATGGTGTGGTTAATGGGGAGCAGACTTTGATGCAGCTCCCAGTTGAACGCAAAGGAGGGGGAGAAAGCGCCGGAGATCGAGAAGGCTGACGTTAGAACTCTCTCTCCAAGATAGGTTGCGCTACCTTTATTAACCCTGCGAGAAACCAGTCCACAATCTAGCAATCCGCGACGACTGAGACCACGACATAGGACGTTATCAAGGAAGTCTTCAAAGCACAGCTGACGGTGATTACTTGGTGATGACGTCGAGTTTTCAAGATAATGCAACAGAGAGACAGATAGGAAGTCAATTGACGAACATTCCTTTGATGGCCATAAATCTGCAAAATGGCCTACACGTCGCAGTTGTCAAGTACAAGATGAGGAGAGGACAAAAGTCACGTGTGTATACTATGAGCTTGGAATGTTTACGTAACCGTGACAGTGATCATCTCACCATTTGCACCGTGCGCGTTTCCACCACAAACCATACTGTATCCGCATTTTCTAATATCACTAATTCTTATAGAATACCATGACCACAACCTAGGGTTGCAGGTCGTAAGATCCTCGATTCCCATCCCAGCTATTTGCTGGGACTGGTACGATGGCAAGCGCGAGACAGCGTGCTTGACGGGTCACCTCTCTACCACCTACCATCGCGAAGCAATACGGATGGCGTCCAGTTGTGAGGATACATGCGTGCGGAGAAAACATGCAGACCCATCGGTCTGGTGTGGGTTTATCGAGTAGCAAGTGTTGCTGCCGAAAAAGAACTAAAGGAGTACAACTTAAAAGCAAAGGTACGACAACTCCCCCTTGACCTCGTCATGCGAATTGGCTCTTACCTTATCGTATGTAGCTCCGCATTCAGCGATACTTGAAGAGTTCATAACCCTTGAAGAGGATTTCGAAGGCAGCGTTTCGCCAAGACGCACAAAGAGAATGATCACTCTCAATGTAAGAGGATTTACACGTTTACTGGCCCCGCCGTCGTGATTATGTTCAATTCTCTTACGCGGAATAGTTTGAAGTGGATGACTCGTCTTCGGCCCACTGGCATGCGTGGATATCGTTGAGCTTCAAGATCACTAGAGGGTTGTTAAAGAGGCGACGACAACGCCAGAGGATGTCAAGAAAGGGTGAGTTCTCTTGGAGCTCTTAGATTTACGAAACTTATTCTTGCCTTCAAATTACCTGCCATTAGTAAGTATTTGCTTTTTAACATCTCAGCTGATCCCGAGCATTCAAATCTAGATCTTTCACAATTTGTAACCCGAATGAGGCACTCTCTCAATGTATTCATGACCTACATGGTTAAACCGTCCAAAGAAATCATTCGTGATGAAGGGCGCTTGACTGGCTTGTTGTGTTTCGGTCCGTGACAATAACAATAATAACAATAACCGCCGACAAACGCGCCTCTCAGCTCCAACCTTTGTCTCGTTGGAACAAAAGAAACATGGTCTCCCCTGTCAGTTTTTTTGTTCTCCCCACTGCCAGCTTCACGCAACCCTCGATATGCCGCAGATCGTCTTCGATGGGTCCCTGCAGTTACACATTATATAACAACAAACTTGGACGTTGGTTTGCTGTCAAGTACCGACTCACCTCTCCATTCGAAGGGAATTATGGAAACATACTTTCAGCCCGCTGCTGCCAACTACCACACTCCTCCTGTTCACCCCCAGCAACGACAGCGGGGATACCGTATTTGCGACCAATGCCGTACTCCAGAGACCCAGTCTCTTAAGTTCCGCCTATGTGGAGGTTGTGTACGTCGGTCGTCCTTCTCTCCTTGCCTTCATGAAGTTTGACGTGACTCCCTCCAGCTGGTGACCCAATATTGCGTGAGCCCTGTCAGTCCCCGGTACTAACTTGCCCTCTGACGAGTCTGTCTTCCGTAGTCACAAGACTGCCAACGTGATCATTGGCCCCACCATAAAGCAATCTGTCAGCACACCGCGTCAGTATCCAAAGCCGCCATTGCCGCTGCGTCTTCCTCCCCAGCCGCAGACGAACACCTCGCGAAGAACCTCCGGAAGTTCGCTTCTGCCCATACGGCGTTGTTGGGGTGGGCTGGTTTCCAGGCATTGCAACTCAAACGTGTCCCGGCAAATATTAGGCAAAACGCGTTGCTCATTGACTTGAGCTACCATCCTCACGCCGAGTCTCATCGTCGGTAAGTCCGAAGTTCCTTTCCTCCCGCGCACTCCATCGATGCTCACGCGTGTTCTGGTAGATTTTCGATACTCTCGACCCACATTGTACCGAGGACCCATGTCCATGACCCACTCGTCATAGCTGACATCCAGCGGCGCGAGGAACGGTGCAGGTATAGCGGGGGCATTGGCACACTCGTCGTCATTATCCAATGTGGCGGTGTCTCCCAAGTTATGCCCGTTGAAGTCGATCCGCCTGCAAAGATTACGTGGGACTCGAGGGACGATTGGGCGAGTGTGCTTGCGCACTTTGTGGAGAGCGGAAGGACGGATTTCAAGCCGATATCGACCACTTCAAGGGGGTGAGTTGTCCTTCCGTTGTCATTTTTTGGAGAGCGGGATTGACGAACGGGTTTAGGGTGTATTATGGATGAGGGGCGAAGCTGTGTGGACTTCAGAAGACCGTCCGCACCCATGAACCTTTGCAACCACGCACCCTTCGTGCTCATTCACGACCACCCGGCATTTGACAGCTCGCGCACCCTCAATTCACCTTGCTCACGCATCACGTATCATTCCACTCCCGTTGGTGTATCTCATGCACGACCATACCCGCGCCGTCGATCGGTGCACCTCAGCACATATCTAAACCTCTAATAAGCAACATCCGTCGCATCAGCATCGTCCACATCATCACCAGCATCACAACTCACTTACGTCTATCACGTCGTTATCTCGGTACACATCCGTCAGTGCCATGTCGGCTTGCCGCATCTATACCTCTTCCCCGCTTCTATTCAGCTTGTCGAGTACAAGCTTAACC